ACGATTAAATTTTAAGTATGGATGAGTCTTACTTAACGCTTCAATTGTCCATTGAAATAACTTGAAATAATATGTTTTTTCAAGAGTTGTTGAACGAGTCGATGTTGTTACTCATTCTATATTTTTCTTTTTCTATTAATGCTACCGAGAATAAATCTTTCTGAAGATAATATATCTTAGATTATTTCAATATTTTAATTTTAGCGAAGTGTGAAAAACATGCATTGAATATTTTGTCACTGTCGTTTGAAATGAAGATGACATTTACATTGAAGAATGAAAATCAGATATTCTTTTTTTTTCTCAATGATGCTAATGGAAAGAAGGTTCTTTCATGAGCATAAATTACAGTGAAAAAAATCTTGTCCTTTCTCTCAATTGAAACAATTCTATTGTATCATAATAGAGTTTGATAATATGACTAATTCTTTTTCTGTACACCTACAAGTAATATTCCTAATTGGAACAAGTTTTACGGAGATGCGAAAATTTTCTCTTTTTTTTTCAACCAACTTTTAAAAAAAACTTTTTTAAAAATATTATTGAGTAGAGAAATGATCTTGAAAATTATCTGAATCATTAAAGGTAGTTTACAAGTAATTGAATTCGTCTCAATTAGAAGCATTGTCCAGGTCGAACAAGCACGCTCGTAAACGACGGAAAATCATTGTATTACACAGCTTCGTATTACGATCGTATGCAATGAAATAAGGAGTGTATATGGATTTAGTATGATTTGTTCTGAATATTCCTAATAATAACAGTCTATGTAAAATATATAGAAAATGAAATATTTTTAGTAGATGAACTTTTTTCCTATCTAAATTTAAAAATTTCTTTGTGCTTCCGTCACAAAAAATGTTCTTTGATAGATGACCCATTAACTTCCAGCGATTTAAGGCAAACGAAGTTTTTCTTTTTTTTTTTCATCAGTGACATCAGTTCAGACCTATGATATTGTTAGTAAATAATACACTGTGATAACTCAATCATAATGTCGTATCGATCAAAAATCATAAAAATTGTGCTGCTATTATTATAAAAATAATTCACAGAAAATTTTAATAAAGTATCTCGAACAATCATATGTTCGACAAAATATTGATGAACGACATATTTTTTATAAATATAAGTTGTAGAGTTCGTAAGTATATTCAATCAAAATCTAGTTTGTATGAGCAAGCTTCGATCATTAAAAAATCGAAATGATCTTTAAGCTTATGTTTATTTGACTAGTATTTTGTTATCGATGTTGAATGATCTTCAAATTTGACCTGGTTCATAGATAACAATTCAATTATGAGTATATTATGTTGTTCAGCGTAATTGAGTTATGTTTAGATCAAAACCGATGAAGGACTTTTTATCTTATATTTTTCCTGTAATCTAACAATGAATGTCTTCTCTTGAAATTTAATGCTCAAGAGATTAATATGTTGATTAATGTGTTCATAAAGATATTTTTAAACATCATTTTCTGATCTCAATGCAAAAGTTATTGGTGCATACATTACAATGGGAATTAATGAAAATGAATATTTTATCTACGTAAAAGGAACAAGTACGTACTCTGTTCTATTAAAAGAAATGAAAATTAGAATTTATTTTTAAATAAAAGAAAATTATTTTGTAGTTTTTTGTCAGATTAAAAATGAACTTTGCCTAAGCTTATTTTTACATAGAATTCAATATTGCCTGTCACGTACATATATATATATAATTAAATAATTCAAAATAAATGGAAACTTGTTAAGTTTTGTAATCCTTTACTTAATTGAATTCAATTTTGTTTTATTCTTACTTCCAGTTTTTCGTCTTTCATTAATATTATGTTGCACATACGATTGTTCGCGATAGTTTATTACAATTTTCCCTGAATTATTTTTATAACAAAAAGAAGCTCAATTTGAACATTACGATAAAAGATTGAAATAGTTCCACTTCGATTCACTCGAATGAGATGAATTTGTAGCTAATGGTAGAAGCTCATTTAAAATCTTTTTTCATACGAACAAGGTAAACAAATACTACTGTCAAGTTTTATTTTTGACCTCATTAAAGAAATTTCATCTATTGGCAAGTAATAAAAGTACATTTGAAGTATTTTATAAATGATGTTCAGTTGTCATTGAAAAGAATAATAATAAGAAGTCAAAATGAACTGTATTGATGGGCACAGACCAAGTTTTCAAAACTAGTAGTTAGTTAAAATACTGAAATTTGTGCCCAATAAGTGGAACGTACCATTGCAGCCCTGTGGACTCAACTTCCTTGCAAAAACCAGTATTCCATGTTTCAAAAATTCGAAATATTGAAATCGTTGACCTTCAACAAACTCTGTTTGTATCTCTAATAGATTTACATGGAAACTAACTTTGAACTTCATGTTTGATTTTAAGTGAATATTTTTGCTTAACACTTAAATTTTATTTATTTTGCAATTTAAATTGCTACGTTTAAGGTATGTGCTATACAAGAGCGAAATTGATTTCGTGAAAAAAAAGTGGTGGTAGTAACATATAACAAAATAATATTGTTGTAATACCATTTTCGAATGAATGTTCTGTACATTTCAAAATTTGATACGTGTATTCATTTGTTTCTATTTCACAGATTAGCTGAGTCTTCATGACTTTATATGCTGAACACAAATATGATGAGATTTCTCGTATCCAACTATTTGTGTTTATATTCTATTTCAGACAATGCTAGCTACTGATATTTTAAATTGCAGATTATCAAAAAGAGTCTACGAATTTGAAACGCAGTCAGACTTGAATACGTCGTCTATATAATAAGCTATATCATTTTTATGCTTTTTTGAATAAAAGCACGTAGTTCAGTTTACTATTTAACATCTAGTCACATATACTGTGACGAAGTAATCTGCATTATTGATAGTACTATATGCATTTGCAGCTAGAAACGCGTTCAGATGCATCTGGTCTATGTAAAACAGAAAAAGAAACTACATTTACATGCACGATTGGAATTCAAAAGCATTAATTGCATATAGGGTAAGCGCATTCGGATACAAAAGTAAAAGCAATTGCATTGAAACGCGTCTAAATTAATATTATTTCCAGTTATGAACCCATTCCGATGCAAACACGAAACTGTTCGCATTGAAACGCTTTTAAAAACTAATGTAAATTAGTTATGATGCGTTTTAGTCACGAAGCGCGTCTGAACGGATGCACGACTTTGCAACGCGTTTAAATACCCATATGATGAACGCATTTCAATGGGTTTGGAAGCTGTTTCAATTTCAGACGCGTTTAAACGCATCAAAAATGCATTTTATGGTTACATGAGTAGTTCTGAAATTTGCTCTATACATATCAATACAGTATCATTCATAAAGTTCGTTTTGATTTCTTCTTATTTTTTTTTCACTTGATAACAGGTAAAATTGTTTTCATGATACCAATAATAATAATAATACATAACTCTAATTATTCAACTAATTTTTAAGATGATAGAATGATTTTTACATCATTCGATTCAGCAGATATTTCTTTACTCAATAATGGAAAAAATTTATGAGTTTATTGAAAAATTGCTTGAAAAAAAAGGAAAATTTTCGCATCTCCGAAAAAGTAGTTCGAATTAGAAACATTGCTAGTACTTCTATTTAGAAAATTTTTATTACACTGTAGCAAAGCTACAGTAAGCGAGAGTTTTCTTTCTAGATAGCCACTGTTAAGTGTATAGACAGACAACAAAAGAATTATGATATGTTACAGTTCCATAAATACCCTCTAACTTTATTGTTTTACATATGTTTATAATTTATGAAAATGTCGTGTACATAACACGGATACAATCAGAGACGTCATTAAAAACTGTATTTTACAATGAGAACAACTGAAAAATTTATGCTACATAGAAATTCAAGTCATGCCATTTAGAACGATAAGAATTAGTAATGGCTAACGCTGAGAAAGTGATGTATTGCATTCACAAAGAAAAAACACAGACCCGATGCTTGCATATGAGAATAAGAACAGATGCTTGTCACATGCATAGATTTGCTAATAGTTTTAGAATAATATTCACTACTTAAAAAATGTGATAAGATGATGCTTGCATGCATTTAGTAGTACTATTTTGAAATGAGAAAAGAAAATTTCTTAACAACTCTAGAAGAAACAGACATAGCTTCTACATCAACAAAATAATGTAAATAGATTAAAACAATGTCACGAATCATATTAGGAGTATGCAATATCATTTGTTTGTTATTGAAAAACGCCCATATCATTGACATCCTCTCTTTTCCCCTCTACTTATTTGATTACAGAGAAATCGAAATTAAACTATCATGGTATAGATTTTCATTCGAAAAATTACATTTTCTGTACAAAATACAGTTTTACCGTAAATAATAACAGCATCTTCCCTGCCATGTATAATTTTTCATGCTTTGTTGTAGAAAAACAAATGTGAAATTCTTTGGCAATCCATATTACAACTAGACACCACAATATACAAAACTATCCTATTCTAACAAAATTCATAAGTGAATATTAACATTAAATAACATTTATATAAAAAGCAACAATCTCAACAAAGTGACATTTAGATAGACTGCTTCATAGGTTTTTCAA